AGGCACCCTAAAAGTGTCTGTCAGGACTGGAAGTGACCCCATGACCAATGGGGGGACCTTTAACTTTGCTTCCATATAAGGAAAATAATTTTGGACTCACAGAAAAGTATGGATGTTGGCCCTTTTGAAATTGTACACTGATCATATTGAATTGGCGGCCAAGGTGATATGATTATGTATTTTGTAAATTAAAATGAGACAAAGCTGTTTTTCTTGGCTTCAGTTGTCAACTTGACACACCAGAAAAGGGTGCCTCAATTCAGGGAGGGCCTCCATCAGGTTTGTCTGTGGGACATTTTCTTGACTGACCCACTGTGGGTACTACCATGCCTGGGCAGGTAGACCTGGACTGTATAAAGGATGGTAACTGAGCAGACCAGGGGGTGCAAGCCAGTGAGCAGCATTCTCCTGTAACCTCTGCTTCAGGTCTAAGTTTCAGGTTCCTGCGTTGATCTCCAGCCCTGATTTCCTTGATGCTGGATTGTGACATGGGAAAGCTGAAATAAACCCTTTCCTCCCTAAGGTGGTTGTGGTCAGTGTTTTATCTCAGCAGTAGAAAGTAACTAGAACAAAAGCAACTCTGTAATCTTTTGAATACCACTTATTTCAGTTTTGACCAGAACGCTAGAAATGAGTTTATAGAAGTATCAAAGCATTCTTAAAGTACTTTGGCCCCATAGAGTACTAACCTAGAAACTAATGCAGTTCAGTTCAGAACAGGACTAGTTTATACATACTAACAAGGATCTCTAGGAAGAACAGGTAGGCAGTTGCCAGGGCTTGGGGATGGGAGTGGTGTTTAATTACAACCCAGCCGCTAAAAGAAATTTGGGGAAGGAAGAGAACTGCTTTACACCCTGTTAGTGGTACTCACGTAACCATGCATTGGTTAAAATTCAATATACTCTGTAAAAAAAAAAAAATTAAATTTTTCTCTATGTACTTTTTTGATATTTTTTTTAAGCAGGAAGTGGGAATATGACCCAGAGCAGGCAAACTTTATGTTTTTAAATGAGGGAAATGATAAAAGGAACTTAGGGTCGTAATAAATATGCTAAGTATGGTGGCACACACATCTTTAATCCTAGCACTTGGAAAAGAGCAGAGGCAGATGGATCTCTGAGATTGAGGCCAGCCTGGTCTACATAGGCCAGGCCAGCTGGGACTACAAGGAGACTGTATCTCAAAATACTGCCCCCCAAAGATTTTATTTTATGTGTATGAATGTTTTGCTTCTATGTAAGTGCATACCATGCCCATGGAGGCCAGAAGAGGGCGTTGATTCTCTGGATCTGGAGTTACATATCGTTGTGAACCACCACATGGGTGCTAGGTCATCTGCAAGAGCTGTAAGCACTGCTAACTGCTGAGCCATCTCTCTAGTCCCCATATACAATACTTGGAAGATGTTGGAGGGTTTCTACATTTTTTTATTCTAGATTTTTAGCCAAAAGCCAGAGAAGTTATTCTCCATGTTTTGGGTTAATACTTCAGTTTAGGGAAAGGAAAAATGAGATTTAAATGAGAATACCTCAGTCTTTAAATATGTTACTTTAAATGTCTTTTTTTCCTTCTTGTGGTGATGAGGATTGGAGTCAGGGTCTTGCACATGCTAAACAAGTGCTCTACATAACTAAGTTACATCCCAAACCCTGTATGTATACTTTTTTAATTAGTAAGAATATGTAATCATGGGGCTGGAGAGATGGCTCAGCAGTTAAGAACACTGAATGTTCTTGCAGAAGACTCAGGTTTGAATCCCAGCACCCACATGGCAGCTAACAGCTGTCCGTAACTCCAGTTCCATGGGATCCCATGCCCTCTTCTGACTTCCGAGGGCATTGCACTACACGGGTGCACTTACACACATGCAGGAAATGCACACATACACATAAAATTAAAAAAAAAAAATGTAATCACATAAATTCTGGGAAGAGCCAGGCTTGGTGACACATATCTATAGTATCAGCACTTGGGAGGTAGAGGCAGGTAGGGTAGGAGTTCAAGGCCAGCCTTGGCTACATAGCAAGTTTGGGACTAGCCTGAGCTACATAAGACCCTGTCTCAAAATAGAAGTTAGCAAATAAATTTAAGGAAGGATTGATTGAGTTTGTGGTTGGAAGACCTTTTTTATACTTTAGTTGGATTAATTTGAACTCCTCAGCTTATTGAAAGGTTTTGAACAGTAGCTGATGACTTTGGTGCACTCTTGTGATAGGTTCTCACTTTAGGAGAGAGTCTATATTGGCTTCTTCTAGGTCCCTTACTTTCTCAGCCTTTATGGTTCCATATAGTCAGGAGGGCAAAATAACTCAAAAGTTAGTTTAAAGTATGGATCTAACTTGCTTTTAAAATCATATTTCCAGCTTAAAAGATGAAATCACATCTGAGAAGTTAATTGGGGTAAAACTATGGATTACAGCTGGACCAAGGGAAAAATTTACTGCAGCTGAGGTAAGGAATACTGAGACAGAAGAAATGGTGAGCGGTGATGAGGGGCCAGGTCTCTAAAACCCTGGGTTTTAATCCCTCATCAGCACTTATTGTGTCCACAGTCTTTTCTCCTTTGCGCTCATCCTGGACAGTCCACGTAGTGCCCCATACACTGGATGGGGACTCAAGTATTAGCCAGGCTTTTTTTGCCATAACTTTACTTTGAACATAGGAAAACTGCATTTAAAGTTAAACATGAAGAACTCTGGGCCAGCAAGATGGCTCAGTGTGTAAAGGCACTTTGCTGCCGATCCTGGCAATCTGAGTTTGGTCCCTGGAACCCACATGGTAGAAGGAGAGAACTGACTACTGAAAGTTGTCCTCTTACCTCTGACACCCCCCCCCCGCACAAATTAAATGTAAAAAATGGAATTCTATTTCTTTTTTTAAAAAGATTTATTTTTAATTATGTATATGTGTGTGAGTGTGTTTGTGTGTGTCTGTGCATGGGTATTTGTACATAAGTGCAAGTGCCTGTGGAGGCCAGAAGCATTGAATCTCTTGGAACTGGAGTTCCTACTTGATGTGGGTGCTGGGAACCAAACTTGGGTCTCCTGGAAGAACAGGAAGTGCTCTTAACCACTAAGCCATCGCTCTACCCCAAAGATTCTGTAAATAGAACAGCTGGCAACAAGTTCCCACTGAATTTTACAGATCCGCCTGCCTCTACCTCCCAAGTGCTGGGATTAAAGGTGTGTGCCACCACGCCTGGCTAGACTTACTTTCAAAACAAATTTTTACATTTATTTATTTTGTGTATATATGTGAGACTCCATCTCACAATACAAGACAACAGCTGTTAGGTAACACGTCCCCATTTCCCTTTCCCACAGGCCCTAGCCACCACAATTTCATTTCTGTCTCGATGAATTTGACTATCTAGGAATCCATGTAAGTGGTAAAATTTAGTGGGAACTTGTTGCCAGCTGTGCTATTCACTGAGTCTGTCCTTCAAGTATCTTTTTTTTTTTTCTTTTTTTCGGAATGTCAGAGAGCCAGTATGATTCAAGAGATGCCATTTGATCCCATTGCATTTAGACAGCATGGACAAGTCCCAGAAATACTCAGTCACAAGGTCAAGTTCTAGTAGGATTCCACAAGCAAAAACTATGTTCTGAGAAAATGTATTATGTCTGTGAGTGACACCCTGTCTCAAACGAACAACAACTCCCCAAACTATTGGCCTAGATCCCACCACCCCAGGTTTTCTCAGACTGAGTCACAAGATGAGTTCTACTAGATTTTTTCCCCTCCTTAGCTTTGTGAGAACAAGAGAAAGCTTCTCAGAAAATAAGACAACTAGCATTCTTTTTAAAAGATTTATTTTAAATTATGTGTATATGTGTTTGGATATGTGTACATGTGAGTGCAGGGGCCCTCGGAGTCCGGAAGAGGATGCCAGATCCCCTGGAGTTAGAGTTGCAGACAGTTGTAAGCCACTCAACATGGATGCTAAGAACTGAACTTGGGTCCTCTGCACGAGCAGCAAACACTCTTAGTTGCTGAGCCATCTCTCTAGCCCCCAAACAGCTAACATTTCTGACTGAGGTTTAGCCTGCCCATGACCTTAAACAGAATTCCTTTGCCCTGAAGGCAGGCAATGAAGGGAAAGGTGTGATCTTTACATCAGAGATTCTCAACCAAGGCTGGTATTGCATATTATTTTCCTCCCTGGGGGACATTTGGCAATGTTTGGGGACATTTTTGGTTGTCAGAAGAGGTAGGTGCAAGTGGCACTTAGTAGGCAGATACCAACAATGCTGTGAAATAAAGATCTGTCAGCTTCCTTTAGCTAGCAACTATCTATCTTTGGTTTGCTCTTGATAGTCAACTTGGAAAATGACAGTTCAGATTGAGCATTTTGGGGTTCTTTTTTTTTTTTTTCTTTCTTTTTTAATTTTAAAGGCAGTGTCTCATATAGCCCAGGCTGACCTTGGACTTCATACCTAGCCAAGGGTAGCCTGGAACTCCTGATCCTCCTTGCCTCCACTGAGTGCTGGGATTACAGGTATGCATCATCACAACCTTTTATGTATCGGTCAAGATTAAGCCCAGGACCTTGTGGCTATTAGGCACGAACTCTACCTGCTGAGCTACATCCCTACTCAGCCCTGCTTGAGCATTTTATAGAGTTTTATGCTCAAAGATAAACTTGGAGATAAATCTTACACAGAGAGCCAATGTTATATTACCCTATGAACTTTAAATGCTAAAGCATTTAGATTTGAAGTTAGTTAAGGCTGTATTCATAGTATTTTAAAAAGTCTTTTCACCATATTCATTGATTTTTTTTTTTTTCCCCCTTTATGTAGTTTGAAGTCCTGAAGAAATACCTTGACAGTGGAGGGGATATCCTTGTGATGCTGGGAGAAGGTGGAGAATCCAGATTTGACACCAATATTAACTTTCTCCTTGAAGAATACGGAATCATGGTTAATAATGGTAGTTATTATTTTATTACCTTTTATTTCTTTGTGCATATGGGTAAGTGCACATGTGCTAGTATAGAGGTCAGAGGACAACCTTGAGGGGGTCATTTGGGTCCTGCAAATTAAAACTTAGGTTGTCAGGTGTCATGGCAAGTGCTTTTACCTTCTGAGCCATCTCACCAGCTTGGTAATTATTTTAAATGGAAGTAGTGATTACCTGTTTATTGCTTGTATCATAGCCCTCTTGGCCTGCTGGTACAGTGGGAAAAAGGTAACATGGCCGACTGTTCTGGGCTCTGCAGCAGACTGGACCCTAGATAAAAAGAGGAGAGATTGGAACAGAGTTCCAGGATTCTTTTCATTTCAAAATTTGTTTGAGTTTATAATATATATCAAGCTTGATTCTAATATAAAATGCACCTTCCTCTTTTTCCCTGTAAGATGCCGTGGTTAGAAATGTATATTACAAGTATTTCCATCCTAAGGAAGCTCTGGTCTCTGATGGAGTGTTGAACAGGTAAGCATGTTGAAAAGCAGAAATATCTTTACAAATGGCTTTTGTCTCTTCACACACATGGTTTTTACTCCCCCCCCCCTTTCTGGCCTTTTTGCTT